AGATAAAAACAATCCAGAGATGAAAAGCAGGCCTGTTGAAAGCTTAGTCTTCTGACCGAGGCTTCCCGAGAGCCTGAAGCCAACTCCTGTCCCGACAAAATATGCCTTTTATTCATTGACTGTGAATTCTGCTCATTCACCTCCAGCAAAGTCTTTCGAGGGAGGATTTACAGTCACAGACCTTATCTGGCTTGGAGAGCTGCCAGGCCGAGATCTGCAGAACTTGGCAAGGAGTCTCGGAGAGTCATGAACCAATGAAGCGAAGTAATTGTCTCCTGCAAACTCCACTCCCCTTTCGCTCTTTTATTTCCTCTGGAAGGGGCTGTTCATCGTCCACATGTGGCCTCACTCCCAAGTTGACCCCTGTTCTTTAGTTGTTCCCTTTATCTGGCAACTCTGCGCATGCGCACACTGGGAACAGGCTCCAGCTGTTCTTCTGCCTCACTGATGTCTGACTCCAAAGGCAGCTGATAACTGGCCTACGGCTCTGGCCCCCTCTCTGCCTCCGACACAGAGCCCTCATCCGAGCCTTCCCCAGACTCCAGGACTGGCTCAGGTTCCTCTCCAAACTCCTTACTGTCCGGCTCTGCTGCCACCTCCACTGGCCACTGGCAGGTCACAACATGAGATGGGAAAATAGGAGAACTACCAAGTTTTAATTAGGAGATGAGGGCAACAGTAAGATTCATGAGCTACCTGGTCTTCTCCATTAGAGCTTCTGTGGTTAATATAACCTTTTTTATGTTTATGTCTTAGATATATATATCTGAAACATCTCACTCGAAGATCCGAGGAGTCCTGGGCTCATGCGTTCAACTGATGGTCGTGACTGGCATCCTGGGAGCTTATCTAGCAGGTCATGTCCTGGCTTAAGATGGGTTGTTAAATCCAGACTTGGACAGAGGGAGGTGTTTTGTCCCATTTTCCCTGGAAGGAACAATGAAGAAAGGAAGGAAAGAAAAGGCCAGATGAAAGGAGAAGGGGAGCAGAGGGGAGGAAGAAGGGAACAGAAGAACAGAAGGGAAAGGGAGGGGATGAATGGGAGGAGAGGGGAGGGGAAGTGAGGAGGGGTAGTAAATATCATTGGCATTAGAATTGTTCAATTGCCAGTAATGAGAAAGAAGGGAAGGAAAGGGAGGGAGGGAGGAAGGAAGGAAGGAAAGAAAAAGAAAGAAAGAAGAAAGAGAAGGAAGAGGGAGGAAGAAAGAAAGAGATAAGGGATGGAGGGGAGGAAGGAAGGGAGAAAAAGAAAGAAAAAGAAGGGAGGAAGGAAGGAAGAAAAAAAGGAGAAAGAAAAAGAAAAGAAAGAAATGAGGGAGGGGAGGAAGGAAATGAAAGAAAAGAAAGAGAAAGAAAGTAGGAAGGAAGAGGGAGGAAGGAAGGAAGAAAATGAGAAAGAAAGATATAGGGAGGGAGGGGAGGAAGGGGGAGAGAGAAAGGAAATGAAGGAAGGGGAGGAAGGAAAAGAAAGAAAAAAGTAGGAAGGGAGGAAGAAAATGAGAAAGAAAGATATAGGGAGGGAGGGGAGGAAGGGAGAGAGAGAAAAAGGAAGAAGAAAGAGGAAGGAAGGAAAAAGATTGAAGGAAAAAAGTGGATAACAGAACACACAACAGGACAGTGATTTTTAAAAAGCCAGCCTAGATCAAGACACGTTTTGAAAAAGAGAACCCAGGGCATCTCTCTTGGCATGGATTGCCACCTCTGAGTTGGACCCTTGCTGGACCTTCTGTGCCCTCCAAAGGCCAGGCCTCGAGCCACCTGCAGCGGTCCCAACCTGTGGGGAAAAAAACTACTGACTCCGTCCCTTGGCGGCCCTGAGATCAGCTGTCCCCATTCCACCCCACAGGGATGGCTCTGGAATGGCGCTGGCTGGCAGTGCTGTGCTCCGTCCCTCCCTGTTTCCTGCTGGGGCTCATGGCTTTCATGCCCGAGACCCCTCGCTTCCTGCTACGCCAGAACCAGCAGTCGGAAGCCATCGCGGCCTTGCAATTCCTGCGGGGCCCACTGGTGGATCACGAGTGGGAATGCCGAGAGATTGAAGCCAACGTCAACGAACAGGTGAGCAAAAGAATCGACTGGGCAGTCCCGAGGTTGCCTTTTTCTCTAAGCCATCCTTTTATGTTTCACTTTTTTTTTATTAGTATTTTTCGGAGTTTAAGACACACTCCCCCACCCACCAAAAAAGAGGGTGAAAATTTAGGTGCGTCTTATACACCTTTGACTTCTGCCTCCTAGCAATTTGCCTCCTTGCGGCAAACAGCCTGTTTCGGTTTCAGCTTCAGCACAGCTTGATTAGCACAAGCAGCTGATTATCGGTTGGATCGGCCTCCCGATGATCAGCTGTTTCAGACTGCAGGAATTGCTATTGCCTATTGCCGCCTCTGCATGCCCTGTTTTTGGCCTCCGCATCCCGTTTTTGACCTTTGCGCGCTCCGTTTTCGGCCTCCGCGCTCCCCGTTTTTCACTTATTCTGATCCCCTCTGCCCGGAATAGGTGGAAAATGGGGCGCGCAGAAGCTGAAAACAGGATGCGGATGCCGAAAACGGGATGCAGAGGCTGAAAACAGGACACGGAGGCTGAAAACGGGATGCAGAGGCTGAAAACGGGAAGCGGAGGCCAAAAACAGGGCGTATGGAGGCAGCAATAGGCTATGGCAATCCCTGCAGCGTGAAACAGCTGATCGTCGGACAATCAGCTGCTTGTGCTAATCAAGCTGTGCTGAAAGTGAAACTGAAACTGGCTATTTGCAGCAAGGAGGTAAACTGCTAGGAGGCAGAGGCAGATTTTTTTTTCTTGTTTTCCTCCCCAAGAGCCAGGTGCGTCTTATACTCCGGAGCATCTTATACTCTGAAAAATGCGGTCGTTTACCAAAATATAAAATACAAAAAGAGATAGGAAGAGGAGTGGGGGGAGGGAAAAAGGAAAAATAAAATAAAATATTAAGCCTTCCTTAAAATAAAATTCCCCTACATTGGTTAGGATGCCAGCTCTGGATACGCTCTTTGAAATTATTATTATTATTATTAAATGTATTTGCTGCCTGTTTTATTTGCTATGGCGGCTACTTTAGCCATAAAAATACCCCGAAGAAATGCAAAGTAAGTTTAAACAAAGCGAAAGCAAAATACAAGCAGTCCTGGACTTATGGCCACAACTGAGCCCAGAGTTTCTGTTGCTAAGGGAGACAGTTGTTAAGTGAATTTTGAGACCTTTCTTGCCATTGTCATTAAGTGAATCACTACAGTTAAGTTGTCACACTGTTATTGAGTGAATCTGGCTTCCTCGTTGACTTTGCTTCTCAAAAAGTATCTCAAAAGGGGATCATGCAACAGTCGTAAGTACATGCCAGTTGCCAAGCGTTTTGTTCACCCAGGTATGTAGACACCGCAAATGGTCTGAGGTCCCTTTTTTTAATGCTGTTGTGACTATGAACGGTTGTAAGTTGAGGACTACCTGCCTGTCCCTTTGTAGCAAGAAATGAGCCTTGCCGAGTTCAAGAACCCCTCCATCTACAAGCCGTTCCTGATTGGAGTAGCCATGATGTTCTTCCAGCAAGCATCCGGGATCAATGCCTTGATGTTTTACGCGGAAACGATCTTCGAAGAGGCCAACTTTAAGGTGAGGGAATTAACTCTGGATTTGTCCTGACTTTTTGGTTTTTTTTTTGTAAAATACTCTTTTTATTTTCCATTTTCATAACATATAATCACATGTATACTATTACATAGCCAATTTCATATTGTATTAATTAATAATTACATCAGTTCATCTTGCCATCAACTCCCGGAAAAAAAAAACTAAAAGCGATAGAAACCAATTATTGGCTCTTCTGCTCTCCATACACCACTTTCTTCTGCCTCTCTCCTCCCCCTCCTTACCTCCTTTCTTCCTCAAGGGTNCCCGCCGCTCTCATTTGGGGGGTCGAACCTGCCGCCACCGGATCCCAGCAGAGCTCCTGGCCGGGGAGCTTCCGGCGCGGGGACGCTGACGTCATCTCCCCGCGCACGCGCCGCGTCTCCAGAAAGAAGAGGAAGCGGCGCAGTCCGTAGAGACGGAGAGGGTAGAGCGTCCTCCCGGCCTCGGTTGTCGAGTTTTGTCCGGGGAAGCCAGACTCGGGGGAGTAAAAAGTCATACATAAATGGACTAGATGACCTCCAAGGTCCCTTCCAACTTTACTGTTACTGTTATCTACCCGAGTTGCGCATCGCCCGTTCCTTTTCCTAGAAAGATCTACCCAGGACCGGATGCCACTTCCTTATTACAGTCGATGGACTTCCGCTCCGATGACTTCTGGTCCCGCTCGGAAACTAGGATCCATGTGTTTTGGTTCCGCCTTGCAAACCGGCTGTGCGTCTTTACCCCTGGTTAGATTTGGGTCGGCGGGGAAGCGCCGCTCTTGGGGGGCTGGGATTATATAAAAAAAGGAGTGGGGGGGAAAGGTGAGTGGGGCAGCCTTTGTTGCATGCACTGGATTCCCGGGGGAGGGGCAATATTGCCCCTTTGGAGGGCATAAGGGTGGAATGGTTGCTTTGCCCAGATCCCCTTCCCTGGGTCCTTCCCCAACCTGGCGCCCTCTGCAAAGAGCCGCATCTCCATGGACCTTTTTCAACCTGGGAAATGCAGCCCCCTTGACAGAGTTGGAGGGTGGGAGATGGTTGCAATCGTTTTGCAATTCCTCCCAGAATTCCTCCTCCTTTGGACGCGTTGGGTGTGGCGTCTGATCCCCAGAAGGGGAGGAAAAAAGAGGGAAAGGAGGAGATCAATGCCAGCTTTCCAAGATAAATGCATTTTGTCGTCCTCCCTCCCCTATATAGCCCCCCTTCCCTGAAGCTTTCTGAGCAGAAAGACACACAAGGATTGCAGGAGGCAGGTCAGAAATTACAGAGTGCGCCTCTGCCCCCCCTCCCCAATTACTTAAGCTTACATAGACGTATATGAGATTGCCCACCCACCCCGAAACATCAGAAAAAGTGGGTTTTTTCGATCACGGGATTGTGCTTGAGCTGATTGGGTGGGCAAAAGCCTTAAGGCGTGAAACTGATTAAGGTCTAGTCAGTTTCAGGGCAGTTTAGAGTTTGGACTGATGATTGAAAAGGAAATCCATTGCTTGGGTGTGTCAGACTGGATAAGGCTAGCTGATGTAGTGTCAAATGGACGGTGATTTGTGTGAGCTTGTGTCATGCCAAGAAATGAACTTGCTCCGTGTTGTGGTGACCCGAGACGTCTTAAGTCTTGTTATTTTTTTGCAATGGTGTAGATCTGAATCCTGAAGCTCTGGGGGGTTTTGTGGGTTTTTTTTAAGAGAGAGATTTCTTCAGACTGCCATCATCTTGTCCTCGAAAACATAGTTTCCTCTTTACCTCATTCTTGCTTTGCTGATTGATCAGATAGAGAAAACAGAGATCACCGTTTCAGCAAGAAGCCGTATGCAACGAAATTTCATTTTAATGTATGCCGATTAGTATACACATAAAGTGACAATAAAGTCTCAGTCTAAGACGCAGTGGCTCAGCGACACTGAGCTTGTCGATCAGAAAGGTTGGCAGTTCGGCGGTTCGAATCCCTAGCACCACGTAACAGAGTGAGCTCCCGTGACTTGCCCCAGCTTCTGCCAACCGAGCAGTTCGAAAGCACGTCAAAAATGCAAGTAGAAAAATAGGGACCACCTTTGGTGGGAAGGGAACAGTGTTTTGTGTGTCTTTGGCATTGAGTCATGCTGGCCATATGATCATGGAGACGTCTTCGGACAGCGCTGGCTCTTCGGCTTTGAAACGGAGATGAGCACCACCCCCTAGAGTCAGGAACGACTAGCACAGATGTGCTAGGGGAACCTTTACCTTAAATCTAAGAAAGAGATCAGGAAAGAGAATTACTGGCTGTAAAGACGATTACATGGTCCTCAAAGCTATTCCAACTATTAAACCCACTGCAAATATCTCCTTTGTGAGCGAAGCAAGAAGAATGGAGGCTGTGCATCTTTTTCTGATGGAAAATTAAAATGCAGAGTCTCCAAGTTTATAACTAAGGAAGTTTAGTGGTTTGAAGTCATATGATTTGCTTCTTCCTGCTTATTGTGGTTTGTTTTTTTTTGTCTCGTGTGTCCTCCCATCCCCACCTCCCATTTCCTTATAATTTCAAGGGACTTAAAACCACGTTGCCCTGTCGCTAATCGTCTACTTTGGGGCACAGCCAAAGAGAATGGCTTCCGGAGAAGAATATAGACCCCTTGTGGAGACTAACCCAGAGACGGAATTGAATGCTGCCGGAAGACCTTCTCAGCTGGAGATTTATTTGAGGTGTGTGTACATATTCCTGCTTCTGAAATGAGGCTGGCCAGGTCAGTTGAATGGTGAGCTGCCTGGAGTAGAAATTGGATGGATAAATGGATGGATGTTTAGATGGATGGATCAATCCATCAATCAATGGTGAACTCTATGTCTTAATTGTCTCAGTTTCTAACTTCTGCTGAAGGCCACATGGGCCAGTCACTAGCTCTGTCCCAGACCAGCTTGAAAAATTGTTGTAAACAGACACAACAATGTTGTGAAGGACACCAGTGTGTTTGTCATCGTCCCCCCATAACTAGATGGAGGGGGAGGCAATTAAATGTTTAAATAATAAATTTGAAGACCCTATCATCTTCTTTTAACAACCCCATAATCCCTTGCGGGGTAGAGTCTGGGCGACTGAATGGAGCTAGCAGAGCGTTTTAATGGCCGGATGCCCTTCCCTATTGCCAGTGCGGAGTTTTGTTTGGCAGATAAATTCTCATTGTGCCCAGGGAGAGAAATATCTGCCTCTACCCAGAATCGAACTCACAGGCTAGAGCTCCACCTCACCACTCTTAAGACCTTCTACCCTAACGACATGGGCATGGACATTTATTTATTAAATTTATATGCTGTCCACCTCACTCTCCCCATCAGTTTTCAAGGGCTCAAAATGCAGTCGTGTGAGGGGTAGACTTGAACTGGGTTGTATGAACATTTTCGAGGATCCGTCATAACTCCCAATGGTCACTAAGGGACTGATCATAAGTCAAGGACTATCTGTACGGCTGACCCAGTTTTGAAACAAACTATTTGAAGACTTTTCAGGGACTCGAGAACTAGAAAACAGTGGACGGTATCTCGTAGAGAAATCTCATTCCACAGCTCAGGTGAAATCATGCAGCCCATTCATATCTGTTGAATTAGGGACACTGGAATTGCTTGGGGATCCAGTCAGTTGCCTGCGTTTCAAAATCCTAAACAAAGGCATCTTTGCTGCAACCTGAAATCTAAAAACCTCCTTTTGCCAACAACAAAACCTAAACATCTCCTTTCACAGAGAAACATCGGTGTGCAAAGTCCTCATTGCACTTAACAAGCCACAGGTTTTTAATGCTTCTGTTCCTTGGTGGATCAAGGTTCAAGGTTCATTTTATTTATATGCCCCCCTAATCCCGGCGGGACTCAGAGCGGTGCACAAACCCAAAGGAGGGGAAGGGAAACACAAGAACTACAACAAAAAGTACAGGGA